CCAAATTGCCTTGAGGCCTTCAGATACCCCATCTGATTTCGACTTACCGTAGTAACAGCAGCATTGCGAGACAGCTCACTCAATTTTTGTCGTTTTTTTAAATTCATCTGAAATATAACAAATTTAAAAGTCTATTATTAAACCTAAAATGAAAAACAAAACAAATTTGAGAGTCTAATATTAAAGGTAAAATGAAAAACATAACAAATTTGAGAGTCTAATATTAAAGGTAAAACGAAAAACCTTTGTTTATCTCATCTATATAAGTTACTCAGTGGTGAAAGTGCTTTCCCTTCATATGCGATGCCTTGTTCCATAATATGAGATACCTCATATTAGGAGTTCTTAAGTGTCTCTTATTAGGGTCTGAAGAAATTTTATACAGTTTAGGTTAGTCTAACCGACAATGTACGGTGCCTTCGAAGAAAACCAGCGATCTTTTTAGTTTGGCTGAAAGGGTTCTTCAGATTATTTCGGATGGCCAGCACAGCCACAGACCGTAGCACCGCTGGTCTACTTCGATGCAGTATTCTACTAGTTGTTGTTTCATAGCTTCGGAAAGTGCCGGTTTCCGCCCCATGTGAACCTTAGTAGCTGGAGACGCATTTTGTTGATGTTGTCGACTTTTGAAATAACGTTCAATAGTCCATTTCGGCACACCAAATTGCCTTGAGGCCTTCAGATACCCCATCTGCTTTCGACTTACCGCAGTAACAGCAGCATTGCGAGACTGCTCACGCAATTTTTGTCGTTTTTTTAAATTCATCTGAAATATAACAAATTTAAGAGTCTATTATTAAACCTAAAACGAAAAACAAAACAAATTTGAGAGCCTAATATTAAAGGTAAAATGAAAAACATAACAAATTTGAGAGTCTAATATTAAAGGTAAAACGAAAAACCTTTGTTTATCTCATCTATATAAGTTACTCAGTGGTGTATGCGATGCCTTGTCCCATAATATGCGATACCTTGTAACGTAATTTTAGCCCAAAATAGGTTGTCTAGCAGCTCAGTGGAGTTTATGCTCCTTTAACGGTAAGTTTTTTTTATACTTGGGGGGTTTGACTTTCAGATGTTTAAATTGTTGTAATCCGGTTAAGGGCGTCAACTTATGACTGGGATATTTTAATGTCAAAAATATGTATATAATTTAGTGTCATAAGATTTTATATGTTCGTTTTTACATTAAAATGTCTATTTAAAAAAATAACATTTATATTATAAGAATTTTAATGATAAATAAGGTGTTTAACTCAAGTATATTTAAGAAAATAACATAGGTTTAAATTCAACAATATAACATTATTAATATGTGTATCTATTTTGTTTATAAACTATTAAACATTTATGTTTTAAATAAAAATAAATTCAATTAAGGCGTTCAGATCTGATTCGCTTACAAAAAAAAGGTTTGTACGAAAGGTACTAAATGTAAGATTTAAAAATTGTTCTTTACGATAATTACTGAAGGTCAAATAAAAAAAGTTTTCTACGATAAAGGCATCTTTTGCTTCTGGATAGCACTGGTAAATATATAAATTAGAAATCTCTCACTGAATAGCAGGTTGTTAAAATGGTCTTGTAGACAATGTAGACAATGTTGATAGCAATGATACAATAAACAATTCCTATGGACACATTGTACGTCTATACACGGAGAGAAAAATTTTGCTAAAATAACTATCAAAAGTATTGTTAAATGACGTATCGTGAATTTAGTCAACTGTTTTATTAAACTGAGGATTTGTATGGCTAAATTAGCTATACAGAACCTCAGTTTAATAAAACAGTTGACTAAATTCACGATACGTCATTTAACAATACTTTGGATAGTTATTTTGGCAAAATTTTTCTCTCCGTGTACAGGAAAATTAGCTTGCTAGGAACCACAGCAACACTAAGCTGAGTTATATCACATTTGCGGGCTCTGGCAATGCTTCCAAAAGACAAAATAAACTTTTCAAACCCAAACTTAACATCTCTGAAGTTTCTATTTCCAAACATCAGGAAAAAACTATTTAAAACAAAGAAACACAAATTAGGATTTTGTTGAAACGAGTGTTTAAACAATTAACCCTTCTAAAGAAATACTTACCACAGATATAGCTGTTGAAACAGCATTATATGTGGGTCTATAACATAACCAAACTTTTAAGGATTATTCATCTTAACACACGATACACACACAACGGTATGATTACTTGTTGGCTCAAATTGAACACTCTCTGCGCATTACGTCACGCTGGAATCACAATTGTTTCTTGGTAGTGTAATTTGATTGATTTCCCACGTATTTAGTGTGATTTTACTGCTTTTCTTGTCGGTTTTGACTTTATTTTATGTTTTTTATTATTTTGTGTTTAGCCAGTGTTCAGGACTATTGTGTTTTTTGACTTTATTTTGTGTTTAGCCACTGTTCAGGACTATTATAAAACCATAATGCCGGGTTTTGCCGTGGCTACGTGCAAAAATACCAATCGAAAAACTAAAGGAACATATATAAAATACTTTGGATTTTCAAAAAATAAAGACATGATGAAGCAGTGGATAAGTGCCTGTCGTCGAGGGGATAAAATTAATTTAAACTATGGTAAATAAAAATAAATGTAAATTACAAAATAATGCATGGATTTTTAAGGTTAGGTTATACAATTTCTATTTTTGCTTCTATTTTATGTATGTTTCACTGTATACTGTATATAGAAATGTTTCACTGTATACTGTATATAAAAATTATAGATTTAAAATAAGTGAACCTGCTAATTAAAACTATTAATCTTGTTAAATTATGCTATAGCAAAATATACCTAAATCCTTTTTTGTTGTCTGAAAAAATATCAATTTGCTATAATAATTTTGCCACAAAATTAATAGTTTTAATTCGATTGCTGTAGCAATCGATCATATACGTTTTAAAATATACGATTTTATACGTTTTAAAATATACCATCTTATACATTTTAAAATATACGGTACAATTTGTTTATTTATTTTAGCACGGGTCTGTTCCATCCATTTTGAAGAGGACTGTTTTGAAATTCCTCTTCAACAAAAGTTATTAAACTATTGCCCGAAAAATTGTAGAAATTTAAAAGCTGAAGCTGTGCCAGTATTACACCTTCCTGGTCCTTTGCGAAAACAAAAAAATGCAGAACGTTTAAATAGGATTTCTAAAAGAAGGCAACGAAGTACTGTGGTAGAGATATTAAAGGATTCATCACATTCAATTGAGGCTCAACCTTCAACTTCTAAGTGCGAAAACAAATTTCAAATGTGTAATGACGAACCTATGTTTATTGAAGTAGCTGAAACTACAGTTAACATGGAAACTAGTCGTGAAAATAATGAACATGAGTAAGTTTTGCTTTACTGGATATTTTGAATTCTACTATTTTTGCTGTTTGAAATATTTTAATTAAGAATACTTTTTTTTAGGATAAATATACTAAAGGAAAAAATACATATACTAAAGGAAAAAATAAAAATGTTAGAAGAGAAGAACAAAGAACTCAACCAAAAGATTCATGTAGTAAAAGATTCAACAGATAAAAAATATAAAGATGCATTGTCAAATATATTTACACCTGGACAAATTAGAAAATTCATGGATTCAGTAAATGGGAAACAAATCAGATGGTCACTAGAAGATATTGCATCTGCTATTTCTCTTCGCAGTATTAGTCCTAAGGCTTACAGATATTTGAGGGCAAATAACTATCCTCTACCAGCCCTCTCCACCTTAAGAAGGTGGGTCTCGACTTTTAATATAAGTCAGGGAATTTTAAAGAATGTCCTTTCATTAATGAAAAAAAAATCCTCTGATTTAACTGAAACCGATCGAATCTGTGTCTTATCTTTTGATGAAATTTACATCTCAAATAAAATTGATATTGATAAAAAACATGAACAGGCTGTGGGACCGCACAAAGCCTGCCAAACCGTCATGGTACGTGGCCTATTTTCTAAGTGTAAACAGCCAGTCTTCTACCAGTTTGACCAGCCGATGACCAAACAAATTCTGGAGGAAATAATATCAGAATTATTTAAGGCAAATTTTACAGTAGTGGCAATTCTCATTGATATGGGTTCTGGAAATATTGCTTTGTGGTCCAAATTAAATGTGGGACATGATAAAAATTGTTTCTTTCATCATCCATGTGATATTTCATTAAAAATTTTTGTTTACGCAGATGTTCCTCACTTAATAAAACTTGCTCGAAATCATTTATTGGATCAGGGCTTCATTGTGGATAATTATGTTATTAATATTGACTACTTTCAAGCCTTACTTAATATTTTCACATCAGAATTAACTTTGGCACATAAACTAACCGAACATCATTTAAATTTAAAAGGGTCATTGCGGCAGCGAGTTAGGCCAGCTGTTCAGGTTTTATTAAATTCAGTAGTCAAGGCTATTGAATATGCCAGAAAAAATGGACTCATGCCTCATAATAGTAATTGGAAGAAAGCAGCTGATTGTGTACAATTGTTTAATGAATGGTTTGATCTATTTAACTCCAGATCTAAGTTTGTAGGAAATTGCCCATCAAAAAATGCGTTTGGAACAGATTTGCAAAATCAAACAAAAATTATTAATCAGATGTCAGAATTTATTATTTCTATGAGAGTTGGAAAACATAAAGAAATGATTCCATTTCAGAAAGGCATATTGCTTTCTAATAGATCTCTTATTAAGATGTTTGAGTATCTAACTGAGAAATATAAAATTGATGTTAACTTCGAGGCTTAATCAAGATGTTCTGGAAAATTTTTTTTCATACATTCGAGGAATGGGTGGTGCGAATGATCATCCTTCTCCAATGGATTTTACTTATAGATTGAGGTGGTACATTCTTGGCAGAAATTCTGCCGCCATTTTTACCGAAAACAGAAATACAATGGAAACTGAGGAGTCATGTTTACTTCATGTGTTAGATGAATCAGGTTCCTCCACAAGTAAGTTAGACACTGAGGAGATCTGCTTGACACAAAAGATGATGTCTAGTTTAGTAACGGAAGAACAAAAGGATGTCTTAGAAATAACATGTCAAGAAGAAGAATTATCTGCTAATTATTTTGTAGAACCGGATTATTTAGAAGAAGAAATTATAGGTGATGAAGTATTAAATATTATGCAGAAATTTGAAATCAAAGAAAAAATTAGTCTAGAATGCTTAAAATATATTGCAGGATTTGTAGCATATAAATTTAAAAATAAATATTCTCTTGGTATTCCCACAAAAAAAATGGAGACATCTGAGGTACCTGACTGGCTAAGTACGATTTCCAGAGGCTCTCTTCTATATCCAAATGACGAATTATGGAAAATAGCGCAGATATTAGAATCCGAATATTTTAAGATGCATGGAAACTCTTTAAGCAAAGAAAAAAGAATTTTTCATAAATTGGCCCAAAAAACTTTAGATCAGTTGCCAAACACATCAGTGCCATTTGAGGTAATTCTTTGCCTAAGCAGAACACGGACATATATTAGACTAAGGGACCTTAACCGAAAAATTAGCTTCAACAATTGTCAAAAAAAAAATAACAAAAAAATTTCAAAATTTACCAATGCCAAAAAATAAACCGTTATCTTGCATTTTTATACCAAAATAAGTTTTATTTTATATTTTTATATACTTATAGTTTGATAATATTATGTACCTATGCCTGAATAAAGTTACTTTTTAATTATGCAATTTTGTTTTTCTGACCAGATTCAGCGACCCCAAAAACATATGGTAAACATAGTCAGACTCCAGGCCCGAAAAAAATATTTTTTGAGTACATTATTTTTTGTGTTATTTTAGTTTGGATTTTTTCTGTATCTACAATAGAAATTATCCAAATCCAGATTTTTATATTAAGTAAGTAGAATTTTACCTAAACATAATTTGGTCAAAAAAGAAACTACTATTATAGTAGTTTACTACTATAATAGTAGTTATAACTATATATATTATATCTATAATATATTAGAAGTAATATTATTGAATCGAATAATTTAATAATTCTAATAATTATATTAAATAGATGTTATTTTACGAAAACATTGTTTAATTTATTTTTCTTGAGCGGCAAAAGAATTTTGGATTTAATAAGGATTCAATAACCATGCATGTATAAATTTAATAACCATGTATATAAAAAAGATCTTTTTATTAAATATTAGATTTACAATTGCCACTATATTACAAAATTACAAAAATATTCTGTGGTTCCAAATAAAACACCATAACAGGTTAACCGCATTAAAGATTTGAAATTTTGATTCCAACGTGACGTCACATAGTGCGAGAGAGATGGCGCGAACGTGCGCGTTGGCATACCGTTGTGTGTGTATCGTGTCTTAACACTAAAAGAAATAAAAATACTCCTGTCAAAATAATCATCGGACAATATATTATTGCTTTGAATAATTTAAAAGATAACTTACTTGATTAATAGCTCAGATGAATAAGGATTTATCATAAATTAAATTATACACTGGACATTCTTCTGGCTGGTCGAAAAAGAAAAGACCCTAGAAAAATCACTAGAATCGATTGAAACGATCGTTTAAACAATTAACCCTTCTAAAGTGGTTTAAAACCAAGAATAGAAGTTTGGCTATTCGCCAGTAGATGTCGCAGTATGTATTAATTTAACACAACTCTGTGGAAACTCATGGTAGAAAAGTAACAAAATGCAGCAATACAAATGAATCACACAAGGCAAGTCATTTTAATTGCTACAACCTCATATTAGGAGTTCTCAAGTGTCTCTTATTAGGGTCTGAAGAAATTTTATACAGTTTAGTTTAGTCGGTAAAACCATGCAAAGAATTGACTCAGCGGCATGACAAATATATACTACGTCATGTTAGCTTTATGGTAATGATAAAAAACATTAACTTGTTTCTAATTTTCTATTTTTTACATACCTTTACGATGATCGCTGCAAAAACTTTCGCGAGCGGCGCACAGTAACTTACGGCACACAGCTGACTGCTTTCCCGCGCTACGCGACTGCAGTTTACATACGAATAGACAATGATCTGCCGGTATTATAGAATTTTAAAAAATTGCCTAATTTGCGAGAAATCTCGGTGTCTCATATTAGGAACTGACTCATAATAGGCCCCTTTACCCTATCTCTGTAATTCTATTAAAAGGAGCAGCCGAACTACGTTTAACCGCTAGGCCGTTAAACTTTGTGCTTAATACAAAAATATATTATGCCATTTAAGTTACGAGTTTAATTATTTACGATCGCAGCTAATTAAAAAAATAAAATCGAATTTAATACCTTATTTTTTAGCGAAGAAAAAACAGTAATATTTTTTAGAATGTAAAACCATTTTTATTTGATCTTTAATTTTACATCCGACAACTTTCTATTTTAGCCTTACTTTTCCCAAACTGACATTTGTCAAACGGTTTTAACCTTACTTTTTTCCAATTTTTACTTAAGTTACACATTTAGTGCATTACATTACTTAATGCACGGCTTGTGAATGTAGGAAAATAATTAACTATTATTCAGTCTTTAAAGCATAAGTCATCTACATATTATGGTAACGCATTTTTAAATATCAACAATTAATACATTTAATCGCCAGATTACGTATTTTTTATTATATGTTTCCGTCCGTGAAGCCTGGTGATTTTATAAATGGCATAAAGTATGAACAAGGTAGATAATATTTTAAATTAAGTAGGAAAGTAAAGTTTGTAATAGAATATTAAATGATAAAATTACTGTAATTAAAAGCGAATTTTTGTCCCTTAATTGTTTTATGAACTTGTTTAAAAAAAAGTTTAAAATTACGTAATAAAGTTCCTACATAAAAAAGTTCTGTCAAGCAACTTTAAAACTGTCAATAATCAAGTGCAGTTAACCACAAATACTTTTGCTAGCATTCATCGTTAGGTTTTCCCTTAGCAAGCCCTTCTTTGTTTGCTTTAATTTCACCGTAAACTTCCAGAACATATGTCCAAAGTTGTTAGCAAAAAGTGCCAATTAGAACAGCGAACTTTATAAAGTGGGTTGAATTTTTAATTAATTTTTTTATAAAAAAAACACTTTTTAAATTAAATTTAAAAAAGTTTTTGTTTTATTGCACTTTTTCGTAGATAAGTGTTTTTAATATATGAGTTTTCCAAACAAAACATACCTATTTGTGGTTGGTTTATATAAAAATATTGGCTGCTTTTTGGAATTTTACAGAAATTAAATTTTTGCAATTTAAACCGTTTTAAAATTTAAAATCAAAGCTAATTTCGTCTGCGGTTTTACAGAAGAGCACAATTCTTTCGTTTTTTTTAATATTCAGATTTATCTTAGTCATCAAGATATTGAAATAAAAGTTATAGTTAATTTAGAGAAATCCTGATATAGAAAGTTAGAATCTTTAAATCGCCGTTAAAAATACTTAAAGGCGTATCTGTTGTTGCTAAACATAATAACTAAAAATTTAATAATAAATTTAACATATTTTCATTTAAAAAAATCATTGTCTGCAACCTTTACACCCTGTATTCATGTTGCAGTTAACGTTAAACGAACGTTTAATAAATACGTTGTAAAAACAAGTATTTGTGGAGTTTTATTTATTATAGAACTAACGTTAGAAAGGACATTGATATGAATTTAAATATAACGTATTGATAAACGTTATAAATGAGGCAAAAACAATCTTTAATTTACGTTATTAATAGACGTATATTAAATGTAATATTTCGAAACGTGTAATGATCGTTTTCTTAACGCCAAAATTAAACGTTTATTTATTAGTATTGTTAAACGTTATAATCTGCGACATTTTAAAGTTGATTGTACGTTAAAAATATACATAAAAACAAAATGGTGTTAAGGTTTAAAAAAACGTTTAATTAACGTATGTGTGTTTACTGGGTAAGGATAGAAAGTTCCTTTCTCCAAAAAATTCACCAGCGGAAACGCGTACTGAAATCTAACCAGATGATGTTTTTCTTGGAAAGCCTTAACGGTCATTTGAAAACGCCTCCCTTTGTTTAAATCGACCGTTGGAAAATTTAATAGTAGAGAAAGTAATAGAATAATAACAAATTGATTTAGTTAATAATCATTTGGATTAACGAATTAGGACTAAGATAAGGATATAACCAGCCGTAAAGTAGTTTTACAGATAAGTTCTAAGAATTTAATGTAACCCTAGAAAATTGTCTAAATGTATAACTTAGGTTGAAGTAAAAGGGTAGTTAGTAATTGCCGACAGGATATTTTAATTTTTTGGACTTTGTTAAGAGATTTAAATTTTTATTGAAAATAAGTGACCCTGTAGTTAGGCAACCCCGATTATTGCAGCCTAAGTCAGCGTCAAGTGGTGGTGGAAATTTGTCACTGCACGCCGCTGATTGGCCAAACTTCAACCCCTAAGCCAAGTCACGCCCTCGACTTAAGAGAGTCTTTAAAAACTCTGCACAACAGAGTTTGACAGATTTTATCTTGCTAGATTTCGCGCGCGTCGTTTCCGAGTTAAGTTCAAAGTTTTAGCCAGTCAGTGAGTGCCAAAGCCCAGTAATTAATTAAAGTCAGGTATATTGTCAAGTTTATGTAAATTGCTTATACCGGTGTTTGCCGTTGAGTTCACCTTAAGTGACCGGTTTAGTTTAATTTTGTAATTTAAATTATTAGTTATATAAGATTTTCTTATTTACTTTGTTAATTTTTATTCTTCTCCTTAATTGTATTGTTTGTGGTTAGAATCTGCTTTGTTTCTTTGGGTACAGGGCCGGCTTAAGGCAATTCTGCGCCCTAGGCACTTAAAATTTGGCGCCTATTACTAGATACTATACTTACGGGGCCCAGGGCAAATTTTAGAAAAGCTTATCAGATACACTCCAATCTGTTATCTTAAGGGCGCCCGGGCTTACTAACCTTGGTAATATTACTAACTAGTTAAATATTTGGTTTATAGGTTAAAAAGTAGGTTATTTTAGAAGTTACATAAAGTTATATTAACTTCTAACTTCTGATGGTTAAGAGTAGTTATTTTTTTAGACATATTTTGGTTTAGTAATATCTATAGATAAATATATTCTCTTAAAATGAAAAAGTCAAAAATGACTAATTATAAGTCATATTTGACTTATTGTCATAGCGGCAGCAGTCACTAATAATTAGTCAAATTATACCGACTGAAACAGTCAAATTAGTAAATTTGTGAAGTTTTGACCCAGCTGAGGTTTGAAATCGGCTCTCTAACTTATCAAACGGATGTCCAAAAGCTGCACCACTGCTACTTTTTTAAAACTTTGTTATATCTGTCAATCAATATTGTTAATAATATATAAAAATTGAATATATTTTTTGTGTTGCTGTTTGGAGCTAAACTTTTAGAATCTTTGTTTTTATGGGCCATTTAACCATAGAGCCTATATGCATTTAACGCTAACAATAATTTGTTGTTGGCCGCAAGAATTAAAAACGATTA